TAGCAAGAAAATCGGCAGGTCGGTTCCCCTCCCGGAATATGTGTGAGACCTGGTAATGGATCGAGCGGAGGGTGTCTCTGATACGCATAAGAGGGTGTTGGATCTGTCATGGGCCCTGGTGGCAAGATGTCAAAAGTGTGATGACAACCGCAACATCCATCTCTATCCAGACATGGGAGGAGATCGAGGCGGCAATCTCAAGACCAATCTGAAGCGCCTGAATCTCTGCATCAAAACTCGAAGAGGCCCGGAGTGGCCCATGGAAAGCAGAGATGAGTGCCCCACCATGGTCCCTAATCAGGCCCCCTCCTCCAGCAGCTCCGGTATGTCTGTCGAAAGCGCCATCAGTGTTTAGCTTAACCCAAGGGGCCTTGGGTTTCAGCCAAACAACGGTCCTGGGTCGTGGATGCTGGACAGGTAAAGGAGGTGGTGGCCTCAAACGATGGGGCGGTGTACACCCTGTCCAGTCTCTCGCCGTGAGTCTACCCAAGGCAGTGAGGAGAGAGAGGTGTCTGTCAACCTGCAAAATGATGTGAGCACAAGAAAATATAATATCCCTATGCTTCGCATTATTCCTTTCTGTCCAGGTGGCCCATAGGATCAGACAAGGAATAAGGAAGCCCACGTGTCTAATGTGTGTGCGGTGAGCGAAAAAACTCAGAAGCTCAAAAAAACTAAAGTATTGTTTGTCAAAAACTTGTGTACTTGTAATACTAGTATATACAAGAAGTACCTCTACTTGCATTTTATGAACTTCATATATAAATTTATTTTGTGTTCTTTATGGTTTTCATTCCTGCAAAATTAAAACATTGTTCACCTGAGACCTGTATATTTGTAATATTGTCATGCCCAAATTCTAAGTCGTATCTTCAGAGACGTTCTCTATTGCCATGAGTATTTCTATTGCACAAATTCCTTTTAAGAACTTAATTATTACGTGCATTGACCTTTTGTTTCTCGTTCGTGCTTTTTTCATTTTTCTTAAGCTTTTCTTTCCACTTTTTTTTGGTATCAAATACTGTATCAGACAACAATACTTCATATTCGAGCTCGTGTTAATAAATGAATTGGCTTTGCTCGTTTAATAAATGAATACGACGCTTGATTTAGGCTCGTCTCATGCAAACTCTTAAAAGTGTGGTTCGATTTGACTCGATTAGTTTAATAAATCCAGAATTCTAAACGAGATCATGTTCGCAGACACGAACTAAGTGTTTAAGTCGGTACCAAAAGAATGAGTCATTCTCGACTATTAATCGAATTTGACCAGTTATTCAAATTCGACTCGTTACAAAATACAAATGAACTTAATCCAAATTTCACAAACATAATCCAAATCCGATCAGTTCTCGACTATAAATAGATCTGCTTTATACAACCAACACGCGAATCAATTCTTACACAATATGTGTTTTGATTACAACGAAACCTATGAACTGACTGGATAGTTCAGTTCGTACAGTATGAACTAAATAACAAATATAAAATACAACTCGAATGCAGATAGATTAAAGCCGAGGCGATTGAAATCTTTCCGCAAGACAAATACGTCCTGTATAGTGCTGACGGGTCTGTGCGTAATGTCCCCAAAGATACAACGGCTATACACTCGGAAGTTGTGGCACACCAGTCTTCAGAATTCCGGCGAATAAGAATAAAGACGACAAACGGTTTATCCGTAACTTGTAAATAAGAATAGAACTGAGCACTATGTATGCATGAGCCTATGAGAGATGAGTGAGTTGAGAATGCAGATGAGATTTTCCGTGTGTTTTTCTCTCTTTTCTCTACAAATGTATGTTCTATTTATAGAACTTCCACCTAGGTGGGGAATGACTCTTCATTTTTAACCATCAAGTCTTTAAAGACCATTCATGGTTGGTTTTGATGACTATTCAAAACTTGTAACCACCAAGCCATCATTAACAACCATTCATGGCTTGGTTTTAATTGCAAAACGTTTCACGTTTAACTCACCATTAATTCACCTCATAACTCTTGAAACCGTCATGTAGTGGACAATTGAAAGGTCACACGTGGAGGTTCAATGTACCTGGAATGATGTCACACGGGTTGGGTCAAAACCTGAGCCCAAAACCAACTCGGTTTGTGCACCAACACTTGGTGCATAACTTTGCAACTCTCTTTATTATATTAAGAGAATTAATCTCATTTAAGAGTTCTATGTGGGATAGGATTTTTGACCCTTCGAATCCAGCAACCAACGTTCTGCGTGCCAATTTATTGCTAACATTTATTTCTCACTCACTGAAAATCAATTTTGAAAAATTAAGTATACCACAAGTCTCTAGCGGAACGTAGAATTTTTATACACAATTTAATCCAACCTGAATTAAATATTTAGTCATAAAAAAATCAGTCAAAATCAGGTCAATACCCAATTTTATATTACTGATTTTCCAACATCAATCTCCCAATTAAAAGAAACATATGAACTCCAGAAATAACACAAACAACCCATTTCAAATCCAAGCTCTATTTGAAACCACTAGCGCAACCATCTTCCCTAAATTGAAACCCTAGCGTTCATCTCTTGTAACTCGCGCAGCCTTCCTCGGCGGCGGTGCGGCGCCGGCTGGTGGTCGTGCTCGACCGTCGTCCATCCTCTGCTGTCCCAGAACCTCGATTTTGCCGCGGAGAGCCTGCAGGTAGGTCATGCCTTTGTTCGCCGGTGAAGTTGAGATAGGAGGAGGCGAGCTTTTTGGTCTTAGTCCGGTTTGCTATGGGTGGTATAGCTGGCAGCCGGTGTCGATAGGAGGTGAATTCTTCTTCTGTCTCTGCTCGTGTTCTTTTCTGTTGATTCTGAGTGCGATTGGAGGCCACTCGGGCGGTTCCATTTTTCCGGCGGAGCTCAGCTCGGGATTTTCCTGGTGCCGGTGGTCTGTGGTGAATATGGCTGGTTTATGGGTTGTGAGGAGGGATGGGGCTCCGATGGTGTGTTGGAGTTGAGGGCCCAAACCGCCCCCTGTTTCGGCTAGTGGTGATAGACGACGGGGTTCCGACGCTCCTAAGCTCGGCTAATGGTGTTAGGCGTGCTTGGGCGGTGCAAGAGTGGGCGCAGTTTCGGTTGTCCCTTCAGTTGAGGCGAGTCGCTTTCGGAGTTTGGGTTGGGTTCGGGCTCGGCTTTTATTATAGGCCTTGTGGCATTTTCGGGAGTCGTCCCCTGAACTTGGACTATGCTTTGATTCGGTTGTTCTCCACTGGTTAGGAACCGACTGATTGCTGTGGAAGGGCATTATTTATCTATCTTTAGTTTGTGTTTTTTTCTTCTGTTTTTACTTTTGTGTTTGGTTGTCTGTGTTTGTGTTGTTTAGGTCTGTGTTTTTTGTTTGGGCCGGTTGGCCTCATTATCTCATTACTCCGTTGGGGGTTGTTTCATTACTCCGTTGAGGGTCGTTTCATTACTCTTTTGGGGGTGTTTCGTGTTAGTTTTTATTTTGTGTTGGTTTAGTTTTGGCGGTGCTGTAGGTCTCATAACTTTGTCTATGCCTTTAGTGTTTTGTTGGTGTTTGGTCTAGGTCACCTAGTAGGAGTAGTTCTCCATTTGTGTTTGTAAGGACTAGTGAGTCCTCCGATTGTTCTTTTATTTTGTGATATGAGATTATATCTATCGTTTGAAAAAAAAAAAAATCCAAGCTCTATTTAAGTGAATTTCTTAAAAGATATAATTGTTAGATAAAATAATTCTTTCATACAAGCATATTATTTGGCCAAAGAGTCAATCCTTTAGTACACACACACATATTATTTAATTTCCAGATAATTTACTAAGTACATGTGCCAATTGGGTTTTATTTATCCCATTGTACAAGTCACCAAAAGATATGAACATCTTCCCCAAGAAATATGGAATATTTATTTAAAATATAAAATTGTACTATCATTATAGAAGACTTCTATATTTCGAGAGCACAGCTAATTTTGTTGGTAGAGACACTTTTTCTATTAATTTTCCCCCAACTTTCGTAACCTTTCAAAAATTTCAACGTCTACAAAGTCTTCAAAATTCTTACAAAGGCTGCTTTGAATAAACTGTTGCTTTTGTATGCTTTATTATTAGACGCCACCGGCCATAAATAGTGTATTTTTTTCATTGTTTAGCTTCCCTTGTTTTAAAACATTAAAGCCATAATTCAAAACTCAATAATGTGGCAATTTCTGTTTGCCCTATGGGTAGACGGGCCAAGGGCCACCCGACCCGGTCAAACCAACGATGGATCCAGGCCCCTAGCTCGGATCTCAACCAGGCCGGTCGAGGGCCTTGTTTTTATCGACCTTGGCTCGGTGGGCTAGGTCGGGTCCGGTTCTGTCCGGTCCGGAAAAAAAACACGTTGTTATTTATTTATTTTTGGGTCAGGCCCGGCACAACTTAGGTCCGTGCCGGTTCAATGTCCATAAAACCCAATCCGTCGGGTTTGACCGGGCGTTTTGGTCATGTCTACTTACCACTACAAGAAAAAATGAAATTCCAGTGGACATATATTTTAATAAAATTATTTTGACGGCAATTCCAACTAATAATTTAATACTATTATTTACGTTGGAATTCTTCAATGAATTCTAAGATAAATTCCAACGATCCCATAACGGAACCATTCCGTCGGAGTTTTTAACCGTTGGATCATCATATAACCATCGGGGATAGTTTATCTAACAGTTACAAACCCTAATAGAACGGTTCCGTAACAGGACCGTAACATATCATATAGTATATTCTACACAATTATTTTGTTCATACTATTGTTATCTTGGATTAGAGTTATTATTATTATATGGTCCAAAATGTCTAAACGCCAGTTCACATCTCCATACCCCTCTTTAAGACTATGAAATAAAATAATCACATCAAAACAAATTTATATTTATTGCACCAAAAACCTATGTGTTGGACCTATAAAATCACTCACTAGTTGTCATTGCAAGAAAATAGGAGCTGTCTTCACAAAACAACAAACACACACACAAAAAAAAA